CCCAGGACTGACCCCTGGGGGACACCACTAGCCACAGGCCTCCAACTTGACTCTGCGCCATTCACCACAACCCTCTGCGCTCGGCCATCCAGCCAGTTCTCAAGCCACCTCACCGTCCACTCATCTAGCCCACACCTCCTGAGCTTACCTGGGAGGATGTGATGGGAGACAGTGTCCAAAGCCTTGCTGAAGTCCAGGGAGACATCATCCACTGCTCTGCCCTCATCTACCCAGCCAGTCATTCCGTCATAGAAGGCTATCAGACTGGTCAAGCATGATTTCCCTTGGGTGAAGCCATGCTGACTACTCCTGATCACCTTCTTGTCCTCCAGATGCTTAGTGAGGACCTCCAGGAGGAGCCGTTCCATCACCTTTCCAGGGCTGGAGGGGAGGCTGAGAGGCCTGTAGTTTCCTGGCTCCTCCTTCTTGCCCTTTTGGAAGACTGGCGTGACATTGGCTTTCTTCCAGTCCTCAGGCCCCTCTCCTGATCTCCAGGACCTTTCCAAGAGGATGGAGAGTGGCCTAGCGATAACATCCGCCAGCTCCCTCAGCACTCGTGGGTGCATCCCATCGGGGCCCATGAATTTGTGGATGTCAAGTTTGGACAAAAGATCTCTAACCTGATCCTCCTCGACCAAGGGAGAGTCTTCCTTTCTCCAGCTAATCATCCATGTCTTTCTTGTCCTGGGGAGCCCGGAATTGGACACAGCACTCCAGGTGTGGCCTCAGCAGGGCTGAGTAGAGGAGAAGGTTCACCTCCCTCAGACTGCTGGCAACACTCTTACTCATGCAGCCCAGGATCCCCTTGGCCTTCTTGGCCACAAGGCCACATTGCTGGTCCATGGTCAACTTGTGCACCAGGACCACCAGGTCGTTCTCTGCAAAGCTGCTTTCCAGCAGGTTGGCCCCCATCCTGTCCTGGGGCATGGCATTATTCCTCCCTAAGTGCAGGACTTCGCACTTTCCCTATTGAACTTCTTGAAGTTCCTGTCTGCCCATTTCTCCAGCTTGTCAAGGTCCCTCTGAATGGCAGCACACCCATCTGGTGTGTCAGCCCCTCCTCCCAGTTTTATATCATCTGTGAGCTTGCTGAGGTTATATTCAGTCCCGTTATCCAGGTCGTTAATGAAGATGTTAAACGATATTGACCCCTTGGGTATCGACTCCTGGAGGACACCACTAGTCAATGATCTCCAGCTGTACTTTGTGCTGTTGATCACAACTTTCTGAGCCCGGCAGTTCAGCCAGTTTTCAGACCACCTAGCTTTCCATTTCTCTAGCCTGCACTTCATCTGCTTATCTAGGAGGATGTTACAGCAGACAGTGTCACAAGCCTTACTAAAGTCATAGTAAACGGCATCTACTGCTCTCCCCTCATCCACCAAGCCAGTTATCTTGCTATAGAAGGCTGTCAGGTTGGTTAAGCATGATTTCCCCTTTGTAAATCCATGCTGACTACACCTTCCTGTCCTTCACTTGTCTTGAAGTGGTGTTGAGGATTAGTTGCTCAATCACTTTCCCAACGATCGAGGTGAGGCTGACCGGTATGTAGTTCCCCAGATCCCCCTCCTTGCTCTTCTTGAAGATAGGGGTGACATTAATTTTCTTCTAGTCCTCAGGAACTTTCCCCCATCAGAGTGACCTTTCAAAAATAACCCGAGAGTGGCCTTGCAGTAACGTCGGCCAGCTCCCTCAGTACTCATTGGTGCATCCTGTCAGGTCCCACACGCTTGTGTACGTCCAGTGTGTTTAAGGGTTCCCTTAGCTGATCCTCCTCCACGAGGGTAAGTCTTCCTTGCTCCAGACTTCCCCCCTTGTCTCAGGGGCCTGGGATTCCTAAAGGCTGGTCTTAGCACTAAAGACTAAGGCTAGG